TGCATTTTTTTCCCCCTTCTCGGATTTTGGGATGAAGGAAGGAAAGGCATTCCCAGGATAGCCCTGCACCATGCGGCTTTCAGCACACCTACCAGATGGATGCAGGAAGCTGCCTGTGTTCCTGCATGGAACAAATTGCCAAAAACTCCTTTTACTGCCTTAAAGAGGATGCTGCCGTGGCCCAGGAAAGCCAGGATTTCTGTTAGAGCTGGTAGAGCTTCAAGCAGGAAGCACAAGAGGAGCCTGAAACCAAGAACCTGCAATTTTGTGCTTTTGGGTGACATTGCTCTCTTGTTATCCCATCGTTTAGACTTCTAGTGAGATGTCTCTTTCCCATAGAAACCCCAGAGTAAAGTGGCACTGTCTGGTCTGATATAGATAACTACAAAACTTTTATTATGTTTTCTTGTTTTTTTTTTTTTGTTTTTTTTTTTTTTTTACTTAGCATCACCACAAAATGCTATCTGACATACATTTCTGACTTGATTCCTGCCAACTGTTTTAAATTGGCTGTTTGAGGGGATTTTGGGGGGCTTCTCCGTTCTCCTAACCAGATCCTATAAAAATGAGTCCCAGAAGTCCCCCAAGAAAACAGAAGAGAGTGGGGCCTGGTTGATCAGCTAGTTTTGCTTGGTGCTTTGGGCAGCAGTGCAGCAAACCAGCAACGTGCAGTGCATTTATCTGCCTTTGGAAACAGTGTGGCAGTTGAATGTATTTTAAGCCAAAAGATCTTGTCTTTCTTATTTATGTCATTATTGATGACATTGCCCATGTCTCCAGAGCACGTCCAGCGTTTGCTTTCGGGCAGCTCAAGACACCCGAACGCAGGGCTCTTGCAGAGGTTTTGTTTTGGTTCGTGCTATGGGGGAATTGGGTTTAATTCGGAATAAAAGTGATCGTTCGGTGCTTGCACACACGGTGGGGCCTGCCTAGCAGGGCAGCGGTGTGAAATTCAGGACGTAACTGAGAGCAGAGGCTCGGAGGGCTCTGGTTTGACTACGGAAACTGATTTTTTATGTTTCTATTGGAAGCAAATAGGAAGTTCTCGAGTGCTTTTCTCCTTGGCTGCGGTGCTGTCTGCGAAACAGTCTGTTACGCTGTGGCTATTTGTTCCTTCTGTGTCCTGCAGCCTTTGGGAATTTGCAGGGAAGTGTTCGAGTGGGAATTGGAGAGGGAATTTGTTGTCCTGGCCTGTCTGGTGAGCAGCAGCGCTGCGGCTGTGTCGGTGAGGGCATGGCGGGTGCATTTGGGGGCAACCATAGGCTCTGATGGAATTTGCCCCTACATTGCAGAAAGATTTGATTTTTTTTTTCCAACTCTTTCACATTTGTGTTTGCGCAAAAGCAAACACCAGTCATTAATTGAACGCTGTCTAATGGCCTTTTGTCAAGAGACTAGGACCTAAGAAGCAGAAGCTGACCTGAAAGATAGAAAGGCAAGCAGTGAAGTGCTGGAATAAAGTGGCTTTTTGGGATCTCCGGGAGATGGAAAAGGTGGGAAGTCCCCTGGCTGGACAGCAGGTGCATCGAAAACCACAACTCCTTGCCTGGTGGCCGAGGTGAATAGGCTGCTGCAGAGGAGGAATGTGCCGCTTCCCTATCCAGGCCTGGGCTTTATCCCCTTTTTTTCTCCCCAGACTGTTCTGGTTGCAAGCATGAGCCCAGCTTGAGTATTCGTGTGAGGGGGGAGAAGCAGCAGAACAGGCAAATACTCTTGCACCACTTTTTCTCTTTTTCAGATGCTTGATTAACAAAGCTGCTCTTTAAAATCCAGGCCTGGACGTGGGAGTAAAGGAGGTTTAATGCAGAAGAAGCTTGGATTAGAGACAGCGAGAGTTTGCTAATAGCTCGTGTGCCGCCGTAGCGAGGCGGGCAGGTGGGATGCCCCCAAATCCAGCCTGTGCATTGCCAGCCGGGGCAAGGGGCGTCAAAGAATTATTCATGGCCTGCAAAAATTATGGCTGATCCTGTTTGTTGGGATCTGGGAAACGGAGCAGGAAGGGTCGGGCTTAGATTGTGGTCTTGGAGATTTCGCTTGTGCTGCTGGGGTTGGGTAGGTGTTTGAGAAAAATGCGGTCCCGTCCGCTGGAGGTTTGGGGAGTGTTTCCCACTTCCAAGGGGCTGGTACCAAAAATCTGCAAAGAAGTTCCCAGGGCTGCGCTTTAGAGACGGGGACAACTCACAAAGGTGGAAGCCACAAGACAGGTCGGGTCCTGCTCCTGCGTTAGGGTGGGGAGGGAGGACGAGATCTCAGGGCTGCTCGCCTGGTACTCGGTGGTTCCCCGGGGATCAGAAGTCCTTGAACCTCCCCATGTTTCAGCCTAGGAAAAAGGCACATTCCTCTTCTCATTGCCTCTGGAAAGGGCCCTCTGCACCGTCCTTTCCTGGCTAGTCAGTGGCACAATGTCCACCGCTCGTCATCAGCATCAATATTCTTGCTCCCCAGTCTGTGTTTTGCGACTCTCCTCAGGAAGGAGGCTGAGAGGTGAGGGCAGTTTAACTTCTTGGGGGTGAGAGTCATCAAAATGCGTCAGGACTGTTTCATACAGATCTCCTACAGACCTGTAAGACAGCTTTGCTGCTTACTGAGCCACAGCAGCTTCTGATTCCTGGTGCATGTGTACGTGTGTGCTTAAAGATATATTTTTTTAGCTGTAAGCATTTGAAATTATATCTGTGTGCAGCAGCATTAGGCTTTATCTTGCTCCAAAGCTCCATGTGCAGCTCCAGGGCAGCGTGAGTCAGGGCTCTGTCCTGACCATAGTGAAACAGCCCTGCCCTTGCCCCAGGCTTGTCTGACCACAGGATAAACTGGTTTTAGTACCTGGAACCGTGTCCCTTTCTTCAGGACTTGTCCCTTGGTCACGGCAGCAGGTGAGAGTCGGTGCTGACCCCAGAGAGGAGCAGGGACGTGGGGACAGGGCGGCTGCAGCGGCTGGTCCTGTGCCAGGAGCTGCAGGCCGGGCCGGAGCCGCTTGCGAAGGCTGAACCCACGTGAGCCCAGCAGCTCCCTGCCCTCCAGCCTCCCCAGCTCCGTGCTTCTCAATCCGTACTTGGAAAACCGCATTTGCATCATGCGGGATCACACGTTTTAACTTACAGGCACAGAAATGGTCTCTTTTTTTTTTTTCCCCCCTTCTTTGTGCCTTCTATTGTCACTTGCACCTTCCCAAAGTGAGTGTAAAATCCTAATGATCGGATCCAGCAGTGCTCAACGCCGGCTTCTCGCAGCTCCATGATGGAAGCGAGGAGATGGCGGGGGAGCAGGGGCCGGTTGAGTCTCAAAATCCCCCTCCTCCTGTTCTCCAACGAGCCAGCTGCTTCCAGCTGCTCCAGATCCTCCCATTGCCGCTCGGCAAATGCTGAGGGATGGGCAGTGGGAGCGCTGGGATAACGCGCCGGGTGGCTGGATCCGCGTTACCCGGATCGGGCGGCCACGCTGTGCAGGGCAGCGTCCAACAGAAAGCTGCTGGGGGAAATAAAAGGAAGGCGGAGAAGCAGCAAGCTCCCCAAAGCTAGGAAGAGCCAGAATGAGTGTTAATTAAATCGATGCTAATGAAAGTGTTCATGGAAAAAGTACTGGGCTTTTTTTTTTCTTGAAATAATTTGGAGGTTTTTTTTCTTCCTGCCTTTTTAGTGCAGAACACGGGAAGCCACCAGCGCGTTTTGCACGTGGAGAGCAGGGCAGCAGAGCCAACGAGGGGCAGCTCGGGAGCCGGCGCGAGCCCTGCCGGGATCCCCCGCAGCCCCTCTGCGGAGCTCTGTCCTTCCCGAGAGTGACTCTGGCTGCTTTAAGGTCCCTGCGTCCGCGGGAGATCCCAGTTTGTGTCCCTGTAGCTCTGCATTTCTCAGTTTTCCGTCCTGAGCCTCCATCCCCTGCATCTCCAGCTGCCTTGGGCTGCAGGAGCTGGGATTTTGCTGGGGTTTGCCCAAACTCCCCCATTTTTATGCTTTGCCCTCATTATTTCCCTTGCTCTTCAGTTATTGTGAGTGTGTTGAGGGGAGTTGTCTGGCTTGGAGGTGAGGGGTTTAATATGGCTATTTTTCACAAAGCTGTAAAGCTTTTCAAATTATTTTATCACACGTGTGTTTCTGTGTGGTGTTTTCTATATTCAGATGTCCTGGAGGTTGATGATATGTTTTCCAAACTTGCAGCTAGGAACAATCTCCAGCCATCATTTCTTTTCCATATGCTGAGGCAACATCGTATCTTCTCCTGGGCTTTTATATGGAATGGCATGATGAAACCTTGCCCTAGCTTAATGCCTGGATGATGAAATTAATCATTAAATGCCTCTAATAAATGCAGGGTTTAAAAATGGTTTTGTACTTGGTCTCACCTGTTACCTTTCTCCCCCTCGTTCAAACTTCTGCAGCTCTTCCAAGAGCGCCTGAGATTGTTGTGTCCTTGTTCTCTGCAGCGCGCTGTTTTGAAGAGCTCTTTTGTGCTCGTTTCTCTCCCAAAATTGGGGCAAGGAGGGGGTTTTTGCCTCGGACCAGGTCATGGCTCTGTGTGGCCCTGTGAAATGGCTTCTGGCAGGAGCGAGGAGCAGCAGCACGGGGACGTGTTGCAGGTCTGGCAGGGTGGGATTTCCTTCCATCTGGGACCATCCTATTAGGTTTCTGCGGTGCAGGATATCTCCATTGTGATCCCCATAAGGAAGTATTTTGGGGAGAGCAAAAGATATTTCAACAGCTTAATCAGTATCACCTTTCTGTGGTGCGGGATATCTCCATTGTGATCCTCATAAGGAAGTATTTTGGGGTGAGGGGAGAGCAAAGGATATTTCAACAGCTTAATCAGTATCACTTTATTCTGGCATCTATTGCTATGGTGAGTGCTAACAGGGTCAGTGTCCTCATCTGCTCCCTTGCAGAGCTCCTCTCCCAAGCAAATTGTGAGCAAATGGCTTTGTCATTCTTCCTTTCAGCTTTTCCTTCACTCTGCAGAGGAAATAAAATCTTTCCCCGCAGCAGATGAAGAGGCAGTTTCTAACTGAGCACGTTTTGTTCTTTTTCTCCTGTCTTGCAGACTTCGTTTTATGGCCGATTCAGGCACTTCTTGGATATCATTGATCCGCGCACTCTCTTTGTGACTGAGGTAAGGGATATGCTCCCGTGCTTTCCGAAAGTGCTCTTTATTGGGCAGGCTGGGATTAAAAACAATTTGTCCTGTGAACAGCAGGACTAATGAAGCCAGGTTTCCCGTAGATCTGTGTCTCGCAGTCCATTGATCGTCCGGCCAACTTCTGTTGCCTCCACAGCCGAAGCTCGGCCTGGATCAGACATCAGCGAATCCCCACCGACCTGCCTGCCCTGTTGTGATCCCCTGGGCACCTTTGGGGCAAAATGGCCACAAATGTTGGAATTTTCTGCCTGTGGACACCACACATTTTCCTGAAAAAACGGAGCGCTGTCCATGAGGGCACCCACGTTAGGAGCTCGTGGAAGAGGTGAGCGGCAGCGTGAGCTCCCTGCTGGGCAGCACGTGCCGGAGGGGCATCACGAGTGCCATAACTGCTGTGAAAATGTCCATTTGCCCATTAGCCAATGAAAAACCCACTGTTAATGGTGGTTCTTGTGTGCCCTCTGGTCCTTCTTGTGTGGACTCTGCTTTTAATCAGAGATGAGTGCATCCTGCAGGTTTCCAAGGCCATGTGTAGCGAGAAGACACTTTCCCAGTGAGGTGGTATATTTTTTTTCATAATAATTATCCGGTCTGAAATGGGCTTTTAAGCTTCCTGCCCTATTTGCATCCTTAGCGTTGTCCAGCACTGCTGTTTTTCACCACATTCACAAAATAGCCAGCTAATAACTGCATGGGAGGAAACCCTCGGGAAGAATATTCCTCTTGGTAATCTTAAACTCCAGCCAGAAAACTTGTGGTTTTGCCTTCAGTGAAAGGCAGCTGCTTTTCTCTTCTGTTTTTCTCTCTTGAGAGTAGTATAAATTGGAAAAAAATACATGCAAATCTCATTCTTGGGGCACTGGGAGCCGAGCTGCCCACTGCAGCTGGTGGTGAACAGAGTCCAGTTCCTTGTGCATCGTGATGGAAAAGTATCTGGGACCATTTTCAACATTTTTTTTTTTCCCCAAAAATTTTTTGTTTTTTTTTTTTTTTTTTTTTTTTTTTTTTTTTTTTTTTCCAAATCTGTTGGCATCTTTCAAAGACATACGGCTAAGATGTGCTGGGTAGCTCCTTTTGACAACTACCTTTTGGATCTGTGCCCATGAGAAATGTAGACAATAAGGCAGCTGTTTTTACAGCAAATTGAAGATTATGATTTCACTTGTAAAAACACAGGTTCTGATGAAGTACGAGATCAGTTCTCAGAAGCCAACACTCTTGTTATGGAGCCTAAT